CCATTTTTGTCTCAAAATGAGCAATTTTTGAGCTGAAAATGAGCAATTCTAGGTTCTAGAAATAAGCAATCTTTTCATCCGAAAAGTTTTTTGTTTTTTTTTTGAGCTTAAAATTTAAGGAATTTCAGCTCGAAAATCTCTCAGTTTTGGCGGCTTAAAATCCCTCATTTTGATCGAAAATTGGGCAATTTTAAGTGATTGTTAGCTGAAAAAATAATTCGTCAGTTGTAAGCTCAAAAAGCTGAGCTATTTTAGCCAAAAAATGAGCTATTTTAGGCTGAAAATTCGTCTATTTTCACTCTAACCATCGGTTTTTGAGCTTAAAATGAGCTAATTTTCGATTTTCGGTTCGAAATTCAGCGTCGTTTTTTTTGGCTCAAAATAGCTCATTTTAAGCTCAAAAAGCACCTAATTTTGCGGTTGGAAATTGCTCATTTTTAGCTCCAGAACCAATTTGCTCAAAATAGCCTTTTTTTGAGCTAAAACCTCGTTTTTCTCCGTTTTTAACAAACCTGTCCATGCTTCTGATTATACATTCCCCTATCGTCGTCCATGATGATATCAACGGACGCTCCTTCGGCTTGTCTCGCGAAATCCACCTTATCCAGTGCGAGTTGTCGTTCGGCGACGTGGTCCGCCGACGTGTACGGGACGTAGTGCTTCTCCTGGAATTTAGGTGAAATTTAGGCAATTTATAGGTGATTTAGGCCGGTTTTTAGGCTTTTCCGGGTCATTTTTAGGCTATTTTAAGACTATTCTGGGTCATATTAGGATTAATCAGGCTATTTTGAGCCCTATAAAGGCTATTTTAACGCTTCTAAAGGCTATTTTAAGGCCTCCAAAGGCTATTTTAAGGCACCTAACGGCTATTTTAAGGCCTCTACACGCAATTTTAAGCCATTTTTGCTCATTTTTAGGCTGTTTTAGGTCATTTTTCGGCGATTTTGGACGATTTTAAAGCAATTATAGATCAATTTAGGCTAATGTCGACTATTTTTAGCCCCTTTTTGATCATTTCTAGTTGATTTTAGGACACTTTCGGCCCATTTCTCGGTCGTTTTTGGGATTTTTTAAGCGTACTTTTAGCGCTTTTGACTCCATTTTGGCCCATTTTCAGGTCGTTTTCAACTATTTTCAGACTATTTTAGACCATTTCTGGGTCATTTTAGTTCATTTTAGCCTATTTTCAACCTATTCTCTATCAGTTTAGACCAATTTTGGTCCTTTTTGGGTCTTTTTTAGCACATTTTAGCCCATTTTCGATACGTTTGGACCCAGCTTGGGCAATTTTACGGCCTTTTGAACTATTTTCAAACAATTTCTAGCCAATTTCTAGCCCTTTTTAGCCTATTTTCTATCGTTCTGGACCTTTTTTGAGCCTTTTTGGGTCTTTTTTTGCACATTTCAAGCCTATTACAACCACTTTTAGCCTATTTCTAGCCCTTACCCTCTCAAATCTCATCTGCTCTTGTCGATCAATCTTCTTTCCCTGTCCTCCTCCACTCTTCTTCTTCTTCTTTCCCGGATTCTCCTCCGACGTCTCCGTATGCTTCGTGGCTCCGATTACCGTACCGAACACCGCCTCCAACTCGGTCTCATCCACCACGTCTTCTAGCTTCTCTCCATTATTGATTTTATCGATTTTCTCCGAATTCTCTTCCGCTTCCTTCTGTGCTCTCTCCTCTTTCTGCTTTCGCTTCTCCTCGGTTACTGTAGAGATGCGGGGCTCGTGGGCTTTGCGTTTCGCTTGCATCACGGCCAGCGCTTGCGACTTTTGGGACTTGTTCATCTCGAAGATTGTCTGCACATTTTTGGAGGTTTTAGAGCTATTTTAGGGGCTAGAATTTCAAATTTTTGAAGTCAAAATTTGGCGATTTTGGGCTCAAAATTGAAAGTCTTAAGCTTGAAATTTGGAATTTTCAGAGCCAAAAATTGGCATTTTTAGAGTCAAAACTTGGGATTTTTGGAGCCAAAATGGACAATTTCTCAGTCGAAATTTGAGAATTTTTGAGTCAAAAATGCCAATTTTAGAGTCGAAAATCGGGATTTTCGGAGCCAAAATTGACATTTTTAGAATCGAAAAATGCGATTTCTGAAGCTAAAAACGACACTTTTAGACCCAAAATCAGCCATTTTCGCTACCAAAATGGACAACTTCAGAGTCGAAAATCGGGATTTTTGAAGTCAAAATTGGTAATTTTAGTATCATAATTGACTGTTTTTGAGAACTGAAATTTGGAATTTTCAGAGTCAAAATTGGCAATTTTAGAGTCAAAACTTGGGATTTTTGGAGCCAAAATGGACAATTTCTCAGTTGAAATTTGAGAATTTTAGAGTCAAAAATGACAATTTAAGAGTTAAAATTGATAATTTCAGAGTCAAAATATGGTATTTTGAAGCTAAAAACGACACTTTTGAACCCAAAATCAGCCATTTTCGCTGCCAAAATGGACAATTTCCGCCTCTAAATTTGGTAATTTTACAGTCAAAATTAACACTTTGTAAACGGAAACTTGAGAATTTTTGGAGTCAAAATTGACTATTTTAGAGTCAAAATTTGGGATTTTTAGGGTCAAAATTGAATATTTTAGAGTCGAAAATCGGGATTTTTGAAGTCGAAATTGGTTATTTTAGTATCTTAATTGACTATTTTTGAGAACTGAAATTTGGAATTTTAGAGTCAAAATTTGGCATTTTTAGAGCCAAAATTGCCAACTTTTGGCTCGAAATTTGGAATTTTTCAGCACAAAATAGTGATCTCCAAGGTCCGAATTTCAGTTTTTAGAGATAATTTTCTGGGTATTCAGACCTAAAATTAGGGGATTTCGAATCCGAAATTGTCAAATTTCGGGTCGAAATTTGAACGAGTTAGAGTCAAATTTCGCTAATCTAAAGGTTGAATTTTAGGTCAATGTTGGAGCAAAAGTTGCCAATTTTTCGACAAAAAACTTGCAAATTTTAGAGTCAAGTTTTCAGATTTTTAAAGCTGAAATTGACATTTTCAGAATCAAAAATTGGGATTTTTGCAACTAAAATTGACGATTTTGGGCTTGAAATTCGAGATTGTAGACTCGAAATTTGGGATTTTCAGCCCCCCATTTTGGGATTTTCAGCCCAGAAGAACACTTACATTTCGACTCTTATACGCCGAAATTCGATTCAGAATGTCGTTGGACTGCTTGTCACCGTCGGCTTTCAAGAATGGGTGTGGAGCACATTCCACAGAGTCGGTGCTGAAAAAATTGGGGTTTTCGGTGATTTTGAGGTCATTTTCAGCCGTCTTTCAACCAAAAAATCGATTTTCTAGAGATGAAAAATGGGGAAGAAAAGCTGAAAAAGCCAGTTTTGGTCATTTTCAGTGATTTTAGACCCATTTTCAGCCATTCTCAACAGATTTTCAGTTCTAATTACCGAATATCCTGTTTGACACGTCTAGCGGACTCGGCTGACGGTGGTTGCCGGGTCCTGGTGTACTTCATCATGGCGTTGGTGGCCTTCTGACGCAGATCAATCTGAAAATAGCGGAAATTCTCAATTCTAGAAGCTTCTAGATCACCATTTCTTCGTTATTATCATGAATCGAGTTGAAGAACTCGGTTTCCAGGCTGACAATACTGTCTGGCACACGTCCGATCAGCGTTTCGTCTTCTGGAAGGGGATTTAAAGATGAGCAATCGATTTTAGAGCATTTTTAGCCTATTTGAGGTTAATTTTTGAGATTTTTAGAGCAAAAATTGGTCATTTATGAGGATGTTTGGCGTTTTTGAGGAACATTTTAGACTAATTTTGCCATTTTTAAAGGTATTGGGAGTCAAAATAGGCCATTTTTAGCGTCATAATGACCTTTTGTCAGGCATTTTTGATCCATTTTAACCTATATCTCTCACCTTTATACTCAGATCCATCTGTGGCAAACTTAATGGGCTTTCCCAGGAACATGAACAGGTCCGTGAGATACGGTAGCTCGTCATTAGCAATCAGTGAGATTGCCGTTCCAGAACGACCGGCACGAGCGACACGACCGACACGATGGACGTAGAGTTTGGCTTTCGACGGGAAGTGCAAATTGATCACCTGGAAAACATAAAAGTACGTTTTCGACTCTTCAAACCCATTTTTATGCGTTCAGATATGCTTAAATCGCTTTAAAACATTTAAAAACCCCTAGAAGACACAAAAAATCAACAAAAATCAAAATTTGGTTTTCTAGGCCACCATGTGGAAAGTTCGGCCATGAGCCGAATTCTATGATTTTAGGGTTAATTTTATCATTTCTAGTGTGGACTTTTGATTTAGAAAAATAAAATAACGTTTTCTTCTCAAAAAACGTCTATAAAATCGAGTTTTTAGAGAATTTGGGTTTCTAGGCCAGCACTCCCTTTTGGACTATTTCGGCCTATTTTGGACCGTTTTCAATCATTCAAACCCAATTTCGTGCTTCCAGACATGCCTTAATCGCTCTAAAACAGTGAAAAACCCCTAGAAAACCCAAAAAATGAGCAAAAATCGAGAATTGGGTTTTCTAGGCCACCATGGGAAAAGTTCGGTCATGACCCGAATTCTACGGTTTTAGAGCGAATTTCCTAGTTCTAGAGTGGATTTTCGAGCTAGAAACGTTGAAAATGTCCGTTTTTTCTAAAAACCAGCTCAGAAACTCAAGTTTTCAAAGAATTTGGGTTTCTAGGCCACCACTCCTTTTTGGTCTATTTCGGCAGATTTTGAGCCGTTTTCGGCCATTCAAAACCATTTTTGTGTTTTCAAACATGTCTAAATGGCTTTAAAACACTGAAAAACCCCTAGAAAGCCCAAAAAATCGGCAAAACCCGGAATTTGGTTTTCTAGGCCACCATGTGAAAAACTCGGCCATGAGCCGAATTCTATGATTTTAGGGGAAATCAGGGCTGTCCAAAACGGCGGCCGGGCCTCGGCCGGCCTCGAAAAAGCCTCGGCCGAAGAAAAAAGGCCTCGGCGCGCTCCATTGAGAAAAAGCCTCGCGAGGCCGGCCTCGCAAATGTGACTACGGTCAGCAGGTCGCATATTTTACGACAAGTTGCGTTTTTTTTTTAATTTTTTGTTTTTTCTCGCTCTTTTTCAGCAAATCACGCATTTTTCGAGAGTTTTCTCGATTTTTCCATCGATCTGTGGCGACATGAACATTTCGAACGCCAGTGATGGTCGGCTTAAGCCGATTTATTCATTTTTTGTAACCGTTATTCAATTTCAGACACAATTCAGATGCCTCAATCTCACTTTCCTTCAACGTACTCTGGGCGGATCAAGCGCCCCAAAAAGCAGTTCGCTTCATCAAGAACAGCAGCAATACGAGAGAGACACCAGAAGTATGCCTGCATCGAAATTTTGGCCTCTGGCAAAAAGCTCCTATCCAATTTTGCACGAAATCGCCCGAAAAGTTCATGCGATTCAAGCTTCGGAAGCAGATGTAGAAAGATCTTTTTCAATCATAAAAAACTCGTACACACCAAATCGTCAGAGCCTGGACTTAAAAATGCTGGAAAAGTTGATGATTCTCAAAGAAAAAGATCGATTCGACACAGGCGAGACTTGAAGATTTTGATGCATGAACACAAGCTTTTTTTGTTAATTTTCTTGAATTTGTTGTCATTTTCTCTCCCCTGTTATCTCAGTGTTGAATAAAAGATTTCTTGACTTCCTCCTTTTTTTAAATGCTCTAAATATCGAAAAATCGAGAAAACTCTCAAAAAATGCGTGATTTGCTGAAAAAGAGCGAGAAAAAACAAAAAATTAAAAAAAAAGCGCAACTTGCGAGGCTTTTTCTCAATGAAGCGAACTTGCGACGGCCTCGGCCGCACAAAATTGCGCGAGGCCTTCGGCCGGCCGCGGCCGGCCTCTTGGACAGCCCTGGGGGAAATTTAATGGTTCTAGGCGTAGATTTTTGAGCTAGATTTCATAAAAATAGTCATTTCATCTGAAAAACCACAGAAAAGCCACCTTGGTCCATTTGGGGCTATTTTGGACCGTTTTTCGTGATTTTTGGCGCTGAAAATTGCAAAAATTACCGTATCCAACAATGGAATATCCACACCACGAGCCGCAACATCCGTAACTACCAGAATATTGTTCTGTTTCTCGTGGAACTTTTGAATATTCTGTTTTCGCGCCGTCGCATCCAACTGAGAGTAGACGAATGAGCAATCGATGCCAGCACGATGTAGAATTCCGACGACGTACTCGACGTGCTTCATTGTCGCACAGAACACCACCGTTTGTTTGTTCTCACGGTCCATGCGTCTGGAAAAAAATCGAAAAATTCAGATTTTTCAAAATTTCCGAATTTCCAGAATTTTTGGAAAATTTTCAGAATTTCGAAAATTCAAAAACATTGAGAATTTCAGACTTAGAAACTTCAGGAGCTCAAAATTTTCAGAATTTCCAAAAATCTCAAAATTTCAGAAAATTTTATGATTTTCAGAATTTGATGATTTCAAACTTATTTTTTTTCAAATTTTAAGATTTTCAGAAATTTCGGATTTGCAGGATTTTACAAATGTCAGAATTTCCAAAAATTGGGATTTTTAGAATTTTCAGAAATTAGAGAATTTTCATATTTTCAGATTTTCAGAAATTACAGGATTTCAGAATTTCAAATTTTGTGATTTTCAGACGTTCAGAAGTTTCAGAACTACAGAACTTCAGTCTAAAAATTTTAGATTCCAAAATTACAGATTTTGGGATTTTCAGATTTTCAGAATTCCAGGAAAAAAAGGAAATTCCAGAACTTTTCAAAAATTCCAGAACTCTTTTCAGAAATTCCAGAACTTTCTGATTTCTTTAATTTCAGTATGAAAATTTCAAATTCCAGAAATTTCGGATTTTCAGGATTTCACAAATTTCTATGAACCGAAAATCTTAGAATATCAAAATTTCCGGGTTTTTTCTTTTTTTTCCCAAATTTTAAGATTTTCAGAACGTTTCGAAATTTTCAGATTTTCGGAATTTTCCAAATTCTCAGAATTTCAAAATTTGGGATTTTCTGACTTTAAGAATTTTCAGGTTTTTTGATTTTTACATTCCGAAATCTAAATAAATTCAGAATTTCAAATTTTCATATTTTCAGATTTTCAGAAATTACAGGATTTCAGAATTTCAAATTTTGTGATTTTCAGACGTTCAGAAGTTTCAGAACTACAGAACTTCAGTCTAAAAATTTTAGATTCCAAAATTACAGATTTTGGGATTTTCACAAATTTCGGATTTTCAGGATTTTCAGAATTTCAAAACTTGGGATTTTCAAGATTTTCAGAATTTCATATATTCAGATTTTCGGATTTCCGGAGATTTCCGACTTTCAGAATTCAAAATTTTGGAATTTTCAGACCTTCAGAATTTTCTGAATTCCAGAATTCCAAAATTTTTAGATATCTGAAAAATTTCAGAATTCCAAAGTTCTCATTTTTAGATTTTTAGGATTTTCAGATAAACTTCAGATTTTCAAAAAATTTCAAACATTTCAGAATTTTAGTTATCTTAAAATTTAAGATTTTCAGATATTCGAAATGTTCAGAATATAGAGAAATTTCAGATTTTCATAATGAAATTTTTTTTTAATTTTCGGATTTTCGAAAATTTCAGACTTTCAGAATTTCAAATTTTGGGATTTTCAGATTTTTCAGATTTTTTAAAATTTCAGATTTCATAAATTTCAGATTTTCAGAAATTTCGGATTCTCAGGATTTCAAAAATTTTAGTATTTTCCAAAATTTCCGAATCTTGAGGTATTCAGAATTTTAGAATTTCAAAAATTTCACAATTTTCAGGTTTTCAAATTTTCAGAATTTTCAGCTTTCTTTAGTTTCAGTATGAAAATTCAAAGTTCCAAAAAATTAGAATTTTCAAAAATTTTTGTAAAAATTTGTAAAAATTTCCGATTTTCAGAAATTAGAGAATTTTCAGATTTTCAGATTATCGAGATTTTCAGTTACCTGCACAAATGGAGCAACGCGAGAGCTTCTCATCGGGACGACACATGCAGAATACCATTGATAGCTTATCACTGACCTTCTCATCAACGTCTAGGCGTACTGAAAATGTTTAAATTGGCTGGAAATTTTCTGGAAATGGCTAAAAACGAATCTGGCCGAGTTTTGGGATTTCTAGGCCACCTAGGGTTTTCTAGGTCGTTTTTAATGTAAAAATCGTTCTGAACCTCGAAAAAATGGCTTAAAATTCATTTCTGACTCCGAAAATCGGCCAAAAATCGCCAAAAATCATGCTGGCCGAGTTTTTGGGGGTTTTCTAGGCCATATTGGACGAAAATTAAAATTTAATGGCTTAAAAAACAGCTAAAAATCTGATTTTTTCTGGAATTTTCACTAGAATTTCAATTCTTACCCAACATTGGGTCCGTCAATCCGGCTTTCGCGAAATCCACCAGCATTTTTGGCAGTGTAGCAGAGAAGAGCAGGGTTTGACGAGATTCGGGGATGCGTTTCAGGGTTTCCTGGAAGAATAGGTTGACTTTAATCGGGTGGCCTAGATAACCAAGTTTCAACTGATAATCCCTCAAAAAATCATTAAAAACGACCGAAAATGAGCCCAGATACACTGAAAATGGTCTCTGGTGGCCTAGAAACCCAAATTACCCCCAAAAAACCTCGATTTTTCGCATTTTTTCGAGCAACTAGGGGTTCTAGAGTGTTTTAAAGCGATTCTAGCGGTTAAAAATACCCAGAAACCACAAAAAATAACCCAAAATAGGCCGAAATCGACCAAAAAGGTGTGGTGGCCTAGAAACCCAAATTCTCAGAAAACTAGTCCTTTGAGATGTTTTCAAAAGAGAAAACGAGTATTTCAATGGTTTGTAGCTCAAAAATCCACCCAAAAACCCTTAAAATTCGAGAATTGGAGTCATGGCCGAACTTTTCACATGGTGGCCTAGAAAACCAAATTTTGATTTTTGCCATTTTTTGTACTTTCTAGTGGTAATTAAGTGTTTTAAACCGATTTAGACATGTCTGGAAGTTCGAAAATCGCTCTGAATGGTCGAAAATCGACTTTTCCCTAAGTGGCCTAGCAGAAAGAGCCTGGTGGCCTAGAAAACCCCAGAACCTAGGCCATGTGACACATCAATTTGAAGCCCTTGAAATGACGAATTCAAAAATGTTCTTAAAAGTCCTAAATCCCGATTTTTAGACAAGTTAAGGCTATTTTTCAAAAAATTTCGAAAATCAAAATTTCAAAATTTCAAATTTGGCGCCAAAAAACCTACAGTAAGCTGATCCTGGAATCCCATTTCGAACAGACGATCGGCTTCGTCAAAAACGACGTATTGAACGAATTGAAGGCGTAAATCCATTTCGACGATGACGTGCAGAAGGCGTCCGGGGGTGGCGAGAAGGCTGAAAATTGGGATTTTTGCAAATTTTAAGCTGAGCAATTCGGCTAAAATGAGCATTTTCAGCCAATTTTTCGGGTTTTTAGGGTCAAAAATGGTCGATTTTCAGTGTTTTGAGCCAAAAATGTCAAAAAAATTTCAGAAATTTGGACTTTTTAAGCTGAGCAATCCTGGTTTTTTGGCTGAAAATGAGTATTTTTCGCCGATTTTAAGAGTTTTTGGGGTCAAAAATTCGATTTTAAAGCGTTTTTTGGGCTGAAAATGATCGATTTCCAGTCCAAAATCACTCACATATCGGGATTTTCGTGAATCGTGGAGAACTGATCCTCCAGGACGTCTCCTCCCACCAGACATGCGCAACGGAGCCCAGTGAAGCGGCCGAGCTGAAAAAAATTAGCTGAAAATGCTCTGAAATGAGCGATTTTAGGTGTTTTTAGGGCAAAAATGAGCTAAAAATGGTCAAAATTGGCTGAAAACGCTTGGTGGCCGAGTTTCAAGGATTTCTAGGCCATCAGACGCATTACTGGGGCTGCTAGTCAAAAAATGTGCTAAAAAACGCTCTAAAATCGCAATTTTCGATTCTGGCCGAGTTTTTACGGGATTTCTAGGCCACCAGAGTCATTTTTCGTGTTTTAGGGCAGAAATGAGCTGAAAACGGGTGAAAACGCTCAGAGGAGAGTCATTTCTAGGTTCCCAGCTCAAAAATTCACCCTAGAACTTCTAAATCCAAGAATTGGAGTCATGACCGAACTTTTCACATGGTGGCCTAGAAAACCAAATTTCGATTTACGCTGATTTTCTGTGCTTTCTCGGGGTTTTCGAGTGTTTCAAAGCGATTTAGACATGTCTGGAAGCACGAAAAGCAGTTTGAATGGCTGAAAATGAACTTTTTTATTTGGTGGCCTAGCTTAATGGTGGCCTAGAAACCCAAATTTCATGAAAATCCCGATTTTCCGAAACTTTTTTCAGTGAAAATGATCATTTTTATGATTTCCAGCTCAAAAAAGCACCCTAGAACCTTTAAAATCCAAATTCTAGAGTCATGGCCGAACTTTTCCTATGGTGGCCTAGAAAACCAAATTTCGATGTTCGCTGATTTTTTGTGCTTTCTAGGGGTTTTTGAGTGTTTCAAATCGATTTAGACATGTCTGGAAGCCAGGAAATCGCTCTAAAAGGCTGAAAATGCTATATTTCCTACCTCTTTCACGACTTTAAACGTCTGTAGAGCCAATTCTCTCGTTGGCGACACCATTAGAGCGCGAATGCCTTTCGTATCCCTTCCTTTCAGTTTTTGAAGCATCGGAATCACGAAAGCCGCGGTTTTGCCGGATCCAGTACGCGACATGGCCACTACGTCTTTGCCGTCCATAATGCATGGAATCGTTTTTCGCTGAAAATATCAATTTTAGAGGGTTTTTGATGGGAAAATGAGCTTTTTGAGGTGTTTTTGGGCTAGAAAATGGGTTTTTTTTAATTTTGAAAAAAAAATTTGTTTTTGGAATTTTACAAGTTTTCAAAAAAACGAAAATCGCCGAAATCTCCACACTTTTTGGGGTGTTTTCGCATGAAAAATCAGAATTTTTAGCTATTTTTACCCCTAAATTAGGAAAAAACTTTAAAAAAAATTTTTCGAAAAAATTTGAATTTTTCGATTGTTGCCAATTTTCAGCATTTTAGAATTGAAATTCCTCTGAAAAACTGCATTTTTGGGGTTTCAGGGGGTTTTTGAAGGGTTTGTAACAGGAAAATTGAGCTTTTTGGAGTACTTTTAGTCTAGAAAAAGGGCAAAAAAGTATTTTTGAAAAAAAATTGAAACTTTCGATTTTTGCCAATTTTCATCATTTTAGCATTAAATTTCGCTGAAAAATTGCATTTTTGGGATCTTGAAGAGGTTAAGGAAGGTTTTTGATAAGAAAATTGAGCTTTTTAGAATATTTTTAGGCTGGAAAATGGGTTTTTTTGAAAATTTGAAAAAACATTATTTTTTTCAAATTTCAGATTTTTGTCGATTTTCAGCATTTTCAGCTTGAATTTTCAAAACTTTAGTTAATTTAAAACGTTATTTTCATCAATTTTCACCCCAAATTCGCCTAATTTTCATGATTTTTCGCAATTATCGATTTTTCTTTACCTGAATCGGCGTCGGCTGATTGAAACCCTTCTTTTCAATGGCTTTAAAAATTGTGTGATCCAAACCAAGCTGCTGCCATCCTCCCGCCTTTTTGTGCTTTCGATTTTGACTCTGTTGCAGCTGCTTGAAGTCTTCCTCGTCGTCAGACGCCATTCTTACCCTGAAACATGGATTTTTCGGGAAAACATCGAAAAATTCAAATCAAAACATCGAAAAATTCAAATTTCCGGCTTTTTTTCAATCATATTAGCCAAGAAAAACCAAAAAAATCCGTTGAAAATTGGCTGAAATCGGCTAAAAATAAAAAAATTCGCATTTCTCTGCGCGTCGAATCTAGCGCATTGTCCGGAATTCGTCCTCTGCGTACAATGCGCATCTGGGTCGTCGTTGACCGTATACCTTGTGTAAATAAATCATTTTTCAGGTTTTTTAAAGATTTTCAGATGCATGGAAAAAAGCCTTTATTATGTACAAAAACTAGTGGAAAATGCGAAAAAAGCGAAAAAATCGGGTTTTTTACAGAAACATACAAAGAAAAGCGGGGTTTTTCTACATTTATAGACAGAGAATTCAAAAAATCGGGATTTGAAGAAAGAAAGAAAATCGGAGAAAAATCGAATAAACGATATGAATTTTGAAATTTTAATATTCAAAATTGCCGGGAAAATGTGTCCTGAAAATTTGGGAAAATCGGGGGTTTTGTGTGAATGAACAGAATGAACAGAATGAATGGGCTGTGTGGGGGCGTCTTTTTTGAGGTCGAAAATGGGTAGTTTAGAGATTAGATGGGTGGAAATGAATGGCAGAATCGAGATCTACGCGAAATTTCAGTCTAGAACCGAGGTTTTTGGGATTTTTCGGGTCCTGGCCGAGTTTTCCAACTGGTGGCCTAGAAAACCAATTTTTCGGGATTTCTAGGCCATGGCCGGCCACCAAGAGGTAGGCTCAAATCTAGCGGAGCCTACTGCTTCATAAAATTGCAACAAATCTCGAGAAAAACCACCAGAAAACAGGATTTTCGGCTGCTGGCCTAGAAACCCAAATGGTGGCCTAGAAAACCAAAACTAGGCCAAATTTCTTCCAGCAAATTACATTGGAATTTATAATACACTAAATTACAGCAAAAAATTCTAGAAATTTCCCCTAGAAACCGCTGAAAACGGCTGAAACCATGCTGGCCGAGTTTTGGTGGCCTAGAAACCCAAATACCCCAAAAACTAGGCTTTTCGAGTATTTTTTCGTGGTTTCTAGACTGAAATTTTGGGTAGAGCTCGATTCTGGCACCTAGAACGTCTAGATTTTTACAATAAAATCAGAAAATTAGGAATTTCTATGATTTTTGATTCATCCTCTCGGCGGCCATTCTCGCATCGTACTCCTTCTCGAACTCCTCGAAACTCGCTACGTCATCTGGATCGATTTCTGAGAGACTGCTCAATGATATGTTATCATCGTCGTCGGGACTCGTCGAGTCGTGCCACGTGGCCAAAGTTTCCGGCTCTTGCGCTTTTTTGGTGGCTGGCGCGTCTGCTGGCGTCTTTTCGGTGGCGTATCGAGCGACGTATTCTGAAAATAGACACTTTTTAGTGGACATTCCAGAAAAAATTACTAAAAACGGTCCAAAATGAGCCGAGATACGCCTAAAATAGTCTCTGGTGGCCTAGAAAACCAAATTTCCCAAAAATTCGGTTTTTTAAACGATTTTTTCTCGATTTTCTCAACGTTCGATGGGTTTTGAAGCGTTTTACACAATTTTTTCCATCAAAAAAGACCCAAAAACCAAAAAAAACGGCCTAGAATGTGCCAAAATAGGCCTAAAGGGAGTGGTGGCCTAGAAACCCAAATTCTTTGGAAAACTCGGTTTTTGTGTGTTTTTTCAGGGAAAAAGATTGTTTTTATGGTTTCCAGCTCAAAAATCCACCCTAGAACCCCTAAAACCATATAATTCAACTCATGGCCGAACTTTTCCTATGGTGGCCTAGAAAACCAAATTTTGATTTTCGCTGATTTTTTGTGTTCTCTAGGGGTTTTTGAGTGTTTCAAAGCGATTAAGACATGTCTTGGACCACGAAAATCGCTCTGAATGGTCGAAACTGAACTTTTTCTCTTGGTGACCTAGCTTCATGGTGGCCTAGGAATCTAAATTCGATTGAAAACTCGATTTTTCAGTGTTTTTTGCAGGGAACGATTATTTTTATGGTATCCAGCTCAAGAATCCACTCTAGAACCCCTAAAACCATATAATTCAACTCATGGCCGAACTTTTCCCATGGTGGCCTAGAAAACCAAATTTCGATTTTCGCTGATTTTTTGTGTTTTCTAGGGGTTTTCGAGTGTTTTAAAGCAATTTAAACAAGTTCGAGAGCATGAAAATGGCTCTGAAATGTTGAAAAGTCAATTTTAACATCCAAAGGTGGCCTAGAAACGCAGATTTTGAGAGTTCTAGGCCTGGTGGCCTAGAAACCCCCAAAACCTAGGTCATGTTGTATATCAATTTGAAGCTCTTAATTTGCCACGTTCAAATTCAATTTCAAATTTCTGTTATCTCAATTTTCAGATAAGTTACAGTTCTCTGAAATTTTTTGAAAATTTCCAAAAGACTGCAAAAACTACAAAGTCCAAATAAATGTACTATGATCTACGTCACAAGGCTTATCATATGAAAAAAGACGCTGTTTTCGAATGATTACAAATTTTCGAATGATTAGAAATTCAGCTGACCAAATAATGTCAATCAGACAGCGTGGAGCAGCAGAGTATTTCGAGAATAAAAAATTTTCAGAGAGCCGTAACTTGGCTGAAAATTGAGGTATTCAAAAATAAAAAAATAAATTTAGATTTGGCAGAAAAAGCGCTTTTGAATGATATACAATATGGCCTAGAATTGTTTGGAATTTGGTTTTCTAGGCCACTATAAACAGGAGGTGATGTTTCCAGCTCTCCCGAGCTTTTGGGAAGTTCAATAAGGCGTAACTTGGCTGAAAATTGAGCTATTTTAAATTTCTAAAAAATATCTAAATTGACAAAAAATGCGCTTTTAAATGATATACAACATGGTCTGGGTTTCTTAAAATTTGGGTTCCTAGGCCATCATATTCCGAAAATACCGCTTTAGCTGAACCTTGTAACTTTGAACCCCTGTAACTCTGTTCAATATTTAGCTATTTCAGTTTTCTAAATTGCAGCTAATTTGACTTAAAACGAGCGTCAAAATGATATACAACATGGCCTAGTTTTCAGAGTTTCTAGGCCACTATGACCGATTGTTGTGTTCCACCCCACTATAGGCAACTTTCCCCCAAATTTCCTGCAATTTTTCTGTAATTTTCACCTCGGACTGTCCGTTTATACTCCTCGGGTTTGTGCATATACATCCTCGCTGCTTCCCCATTTAAAGGATCATGTGCATTGGGGTACTGTAGCAATTGCGGGAGGAATGTCTCGAACACATTGGAGAGATCATACAAAGCGGTCCACGCCTGCAAAAACATGTTTTAGAGATGATTTTGAGTTTTTTTAACGCGAAAAATGACCCTAAAACGCGAAATTTAGGTTTAGGACGAAGTTTGGGTGCCGTGGCCTAGAAATCCAAATTTTGCAAAAGTTCGGCCATGGATGATTTTTGGGGGTTCCGGGGGCAAATTTACGATTGTAAGGAGTTTTCGACCTTTTTTAGCGCTAAAAATGACCCCGAAAAATGCACAATTTTGGTCTGGGACGATGGTAGTGTACCGTGGCCTAGAAATCCCAAAAGTTCGGCCATGGATCATTTTTTAGCCGGTTTTCGGCTTTAAAGATGATTTTGAGTTTTTAAAAATTGAAAAATGACCTTAAAACGCTAAATTTGGGTCTAGGACAAAGTTTGGGTGCCGTGTCCTAGAAATCCAAATTTTGCAAAAGTTCGGCCATGTTCGAATTTCGCCATTTTTTAGGGTTTTTGGGTTTTTTTTTCAGCTCTTTAGGGTCAAATTTGCGGTTTTGAAGGATTTTTAGGCTTATTTTTGTGATATTTCGACTTCTAAAATCATTTTCAGGGGCTTTTTCGATTACCTGATTGATAACGTCTAGGCATACTGTGCCCGACGCCTCATCAATATTTGGATGAAAAATTTTGTTCAAAAATCCAATGGATGGAGATTTGAATGGATATTTTTCGGGTAGCTCCACACGAATCTTCCAGACGCCGTCTTCGTATTCGGCTGAAAATTAAAAAAAAATTTTAAAAAAATTTTAAAAAAATTAAAAAAAATTTTTTTGATGGCCTAGTTTTTTCTAGGCCACTACTCACAATCTGGCGGTCCATGAAATTTGACGATGAACTCGGTGAGATTGTTGACCATCTCCACATCGTGGTTTTTGGCGATTCTGGAAGAAAATTTAACTTTTTGGAAAATCGAATTTTTCACAAAAACTATTGGTTCTGTGCAAAAATTGACTGTTGAAAACGTTTTCAGCTCAAAAAACTACCCTAGAAACCATAATACTAGCAATTTTGGAGTCGTGGCCTAACTTTTTCCAATGGGGACTAGAAAACCAAATTTTTGATTTTCAGCCATTTTTTGAGGGTTTTGGGGTTAGTTTTTTGAGTTAGGACTAATTTTCTTTGTTTTTAACTCAAAAATCTACCCTAGAAGTCATAAAACAAACAATTTCGAGTCATGGCCGAACTTTTCGCATGGTGGCCTAGAAAACCAAATTTGCAATTTTGATCAATTTTTTGCTGTTCTAGAGGTAATTTTGGATTTTAAAGCGATTCTGATAAGTTTCAAACCCCGAAAATGAGTTCTAAGAGCTCAAACAGCCCAAAAGGGACTAGGATTACTCCACAAATAAGATGGTGGCCTAGAAAACCGAATTATTAGTCCACCATTCAATTTTTCACTCAAAACTATCACAAACCACTATTTTCATCATTTTTGACTAAAAACACTACTCCAGAAACCATAGAACAAGCAATTTCGAGCCATGGCCTAGCTTTTTCCATGGTGGCCTAGAAAACCAAATTTCGATTTTCATCGATTTTTTGGCGGTTCTAGGGCTAACTTTTGATTTTAAAGCGATTCTGATAAGTTTCAAAGCCTAAAAATGAATTCTAAAGCGTACAATTGAAGAACATCCGTCTCGACTCGCCGCTTTTTGAGAACTGGCTTCTTGGGACCCCTTGCCGGGTATAATCCCTCATTCGGATTTTCATCAACGTAATCTGGTCCGGCTTCTGCTTCACGACGACGTGCCTCCTCGATGGAACGGCGGATATCCGGTGGAATCGGGCGGAACATAACTTTTTTTGGGTTTTCTGGAAAATTTTTTTTTTTTTCAAAAAGTTTAATTTTTTTTTTCATGTTTCAGAAGTATATAAATCGAGATATCGAGTGGATAATAATTAAAAATACTGCTACAGTAACCCAGAAAATTTTTTTGCAGTTCTAAAGATCAAAAACCAAAAAAACACTTTTGGGCAAAACAAATAAACAAAAAACGACACCCTAAACACTCAAGTTTTCTCAAAAGATAAGAGAAAAAAAGAAGCTACAGTGATCCTCACAAAAAACTACAGTAATCCTGAGATTTCCAAAAATTCAACTCAAAACTAAATTCCCTATGGAAATGTTTGTTTTCCCAACTTTCAAGCCTCATAAATATCTTGAAACTTTTTCAATCTTTCTGAAATTTTGCGATACTGTACCTACAGTATCCCTAAGTACCTCTACAGATTTTCAAATCCCTACCGTAATCCTACATCGAGCTACAGTAGCCTAAAACCAAGTATATCGATTCTGGCGCGCTCCCTATGACAGACACACTGCGCCTCCATTTGCGATGTAAAACCTCTCAAACTTGGTCGATTTTTATGAAATTTTGGGATACCGTAGCTATTCTCATCCTAGATATTGTGCTTGAATTTCAAGTCGCTACCGTATACCTAACATGAGTTACAGTAGTCTAACCATAAGTGTATCGATTTTGGCGCACGCTATATGCAAAACAAAAACAAACTCTAAAACCTCTCAAAGTTTATCGATTTTTTTGAATTTTTGAAGTATTGTAGCTGTGGTCTTCTTGAATAACTGTGCTAAATTTCAAGTCTCTACAGTATCCCTACACCGAGTTACGGTACTTTGAAACCACCATATCGATTTTGCGGCGCCGCCCCCCTCCCGGACAAAAACACGTGCTAAAACCCTTCAACCAACTCGAATCTCCTCAATTTTTTTTGAGTACCTAGCTACAGTATCCGGGGTACTGTAGCATTATAAAAATCCGGGAATTTCAATCTGGAAGGGGTCGAAAAATTGGGTTAAAATCGAGAGAATCGGGAATTTATTATTATTGTGTGTGTGTCTGGTGACTGAAGCGAAAACATATGATCTGCCGGGGGAAAAGAGGCAAAAGAGACACTAGGAGACTGAGAGAGAGAGATGGTTGTGCTTCGGAGCGCGTGTCTTTTAGGCGAGAGAGTGTGCCAGAATGAGAGAGTGCGAGAGAAAACGCAGAGAAAACAGCGCGCCGAGAGACGCAGACATTCTAGGAAGATGGAAAAGTCGAGGGAAAAAACGGGAAAGGAAAGATAAAGGGAAAGGTTTTTCGCTTTTTTCCTCACTTTTTTAGAGAAAGAGGGACTAAAAACACCAAAAATGACCTTTTTCTGAGGCAAAACTGGTCTAAAACATGGTAAAAAAGTGTTCAAAAACCCTCCCCATCCCTTTAAAAAGGTCTAAAAAACTCTAAAAAAGTAAATTACCCTAGGCGGGATCGAACCCCCGACCTCCCGCTTCAAAGTCTGGTCCCTTAACCACTCGGCCACATAGGCGCGGCGCTATGCCGACCACCAAACACCATGAAGACCGTGGCCCCCGCGCCATGGCGAGGGGTGGGCGACAGCCTCCCTTACGAGAGCCTGGTGGCTGGGTGGCCTACTGGCTAGCGAGTCTGACTTTGGATCTAGAGGTCAGGGGTTCGATCCACCTTCTGGCCTTTTCACTTTTTTCACTTTTTGCTTTTGCTTATAGTGGTTTTTGAGCATGGGGAATTCGATTTTCGGGGTTAAAATTCAATATTTTTATTCAAAAAGCCACAAAATCACAAATAAATTAGAACAATTTCAATCCTTTAAGTGCATTTTTGACCTCCTCCTTTGGATAGGGCTTCAACGCGATGCACACCGGCATATCGTCCTCAATCCACACTTTATGGTCCACTTTTCGCGCCGAAAGTTTTTCAGCGACTTTTTTGATCTCTTCCTCGGAGTCTACCTGGAAAATGGGCCAAAAATCGATAATTTTTCGTTTTTTACCCCAAGAGTCACTTTATGCATTCGATCCAAGTCGCTAGTGTAGGCCTCCGTATTTGGGTCGTTTCTGAAATTTTGAATTCTCGCCAAACCAGTCCAATGGAGCGCACTTACCTAAAAATCCACATTGCAGCCGACGCGGCATGCGCTGCCTGGGTACACACTGCTCCGAGGGGCCATTGAAGTTTGGTTTGGAGATCACGACGGAGAATAACATACATTACGTAGGAAGTGGCATTTTGAGCCATTTTTGGGGCTGAAAATTTTACTAAAAAGTGGTCAAAAAGCTTTCAAAAACACTTCCTGTACCTTAAAACTTATAAAAAAGCTTTAAAAAGAGAAAAACCACAAAAGGGATCGAACCCCGGACCTCTCGCACTAAAGTCAGACTCGCTAACCACTAGGCCACACGGGCGCGGCGCCTTGGCGACCACCCAATCACCATTAAAAGCGCGCCCTTCTCTATGGCCTGCCGGCGCGCCCTTATCTACGCCTTGCCGGCGCTCCTCCTCTCTGCGCCCGCATGGCCTAGTGGCTAACGCATCTGTCTTTGGAGCGAGAGGTCCGGGGTTCGATCCCCCTTGTGGCATTTTCTTTTTTTAAAGTGTGTACAGGGGTTTTAAGGGTCGGGGTAATCGATTAAAGATATTTTCAACGTCCAATAACTAATTTCAAGGGGTGAAACAGAGAAGAAAAAGTAGGAAAAATCATTTATTCACTGATAAACCTTATCCAAAAACGCGTCGCAACACTTGACACACTGTTTGAGGACCTCGTCAAACTGGGCGGAGCCTGACTCGTAGTACGGGTCGGGTACTTCTGGCTTGCCACGTGGATCCTGTTTTCCTAGCATGAGCAATTGAGCACGACGCTCCGGCTGGGGCACCTGCGACGCGATGTCTTCAAGGTCCGACATATTGGAATCGTCCATTCCGAAGATGTAGTCGAAGTGGCGGACGTCGTCTAGCGTGGTCTGGAATGGTGATTTTTGGGGTTTTAGGGCTAATTTTAGGCCGATTTTAGGCTGTTTAGGCTCGTTTTAAGGCCATTTTGGGTCAGTTTTGGACAGTTTTAGGCTCATTTCAGGCTGTTCAGACTCATTTTCGGACGATTTTAGGTAGTTTTTAGGTCATTTCAAGCCTTTTTAAGGCCTTTTCAGGTTATTTTTAAGCCAGTTCTGGTAATTTTAAGCCATGTTAGGCCATTTCAGGCCGATTTTAGGCAGTTTAGGCCCATTTCAGGCCATTCTCGGGTAGTTTTTAGGTCATTTAAGGCCTTCTAGGGCCATTTCAGGCCGATTTTAGGCTGTTTAGGCTCATGTTTAGCCGTTTTTGGACCTTTTTTGAGTCGTTTTACGACGTTTTTAGGCCATTTCAGGCAAATTTTAGGCTGTTCAGGCCCATTTTTGGGTAATTTTAAGGCCTTTTTAGGCCATTTCAGGCCAATTTTAGGCAGTTTAGGCCCTTTTATAGCGATTTTAAGTGATTTTTGGACTATTTTAAGCCATTTTCAGCCAATTTTCAGCCAATTCTCACCACTCTCGCTCGATGCTGATAATCCTTGATACCGTACTTCTTCAGCGCGCCCATCGCCCGCGAATCCGGTCCTTTCCCGGTGTGATAACCGATGATAGCGCTGCTATCCACGTGCCATCTGCAGAAAAAAATTTGAAAATTTTAAGCTGAGCAATCCTACAGTAATCCTAGCTTAAATCGTCGAAAACAGCCGGAAATACGCTCAAAATGACCCAAAATAGTCAAAAAATGTGCTTAAAATACCCAAAAAATCGTAGAAAATTCGAAACAAAATTATGCTGAGCAATCCTACTGTAACTACAGTAATCCGTAAAATCCTACTGTAGGATTTGGCTATAGTAATCCCAGCACAAAAATAGGCATAAAATGACCTAAAAATAGCGAATTTTTTAATGCTGAGCAATCGGATTACTGTAGTCTACAGTAATCGCCAGGGTTACTGTAGGCTCTCCCTCACTCTGCCTCCTTTCCTCGCTTCCTCAAACAATCGATAAAGACGGCTTCGGCGATCGGCGAGCGGCAAATGTTGCCTGGAAAATTTTGGAATTTTTTAAGCTGAGCAATTCGCCAGTTTGGCGGGAAATTTGAATTTTCGAAAAATTTTTAAAAATCTGAAAATTTGAATTTTTCCAGATTTTTTTTTTGAAAAATTCTAATTTTCAGATATTTTTAAGCTGAGCAATTTCGATTTTTCAGCGATTTCTGAACCAAAAATTCGATTTTTTTTTGAAAATTTCAAAAAAAAATTTAAAGCTGAGCAATTTGGAAATTTTGAAAAATTCGATTTTTTGGAATTTTCATATTTTTAAAGCGGGAATTTAAAATTTATTTCAAAACCAATTTGGCGGGAATTCAAAAATTTTCAGATTTAAACAAAAATTTGAATTTCCAGACAATTTTCAAGCTGAGCAATTCCTCAATTTAGCGGGAATTTTGAATTTTTAAAAAAAAATTCTGATCATTTTAAGCTGAGCAATTTGGCACGAAATTCAAAAATTTCGATTTTCAGCAATTTTTGAATCCAAAATTCAAATTTTTTGAAAAAAATTTTTTTTTTCTAAAAGTCTGAAAATTTTCAAAATTTCAGACAATTTTTAAGCTGAGCAATTCGCCAGTTTGGCGGGAAATTTGAATTTTTGAAAAATCGAGAATTTCAGTTAAATTTAAGCTGAGTAATGTCTTTTTTTAAAGATTTTTTTTGAAAAACTTCTATTTTTTTTAAATCTGAAAATTCGAATTTTTCCAGATTTTTTTTTGAAAATTTTCAAAATTTCAGCCAATTTTTAGGCTGAGCAATTTCGATTTTCAGCGTTTTCTGGATCTCAAATTTTCAGGTTTCTCTGCTCTTACCAAGACAAACCATCAGCACACTCTTCTTGCCTTCTCCAGCCATCTCTGAAAAATATGAAATTCTAAAAATTCTAAAAATTTGAAATTTTCAGCCAAAACAATTTCAAAAAAATCCCAAAAAATGGTTCTAAAATCCCATAAAAATAGCAAAAAATACACGAAAAAAGTCGCAAAAATCATAAGAATACCTTCATTTTACATTTTTAAAAAAGTAATGAAAAAAGACATAAAAATCTACTGTAAATTCGTTTTTCTGAAGGAGACACAGAGAGACTACAAACTACAAAAAAGAGAAAGTTGTAGTTATTGTAGTTTTTCTAGTCGAATTGTGGCTTCTGTCCCGGGGTCCATCCTTGAACTTTGGTACGTGTCGTCGAGTAGGGAACGTACTTCTTGTCGCTGCAAAAAATGAGCAATTTTAGGAGATTCTCTGCGAGATTGCTCAGCTTTAATTTTGAGCATTTTAAGCTCAAAAATTGCACATTTTCAGTCAATTTTGGATCATTTCAGCTAGATTTTGGCGTTTTAGAGGCATTTCAAGGCATTTTAATGCTGTTTGGGTCATTTTTCGATTGCCCCGCAGCTTTAATTTTAGGCAATTTTTTGAGACGCTCCGAACTCAGCTTAACCCAAATTTTGAGCATTTTGCTCAGCTTACATTTCTAGCATTTTTAGCCAAATTTCGGTAATTTTAGGCTTAAAATTTGAGATTTTGAGTCAACTTTTAACCACTCTAGCCTGCAAAATAGCAAAATTTCAAGTGATTTCGGGATTGCTCAGCTTCAATTTTGAGCTATAGTTTCGCCAAATTTTGGCCATTTTAGGGGTGAAATTGACAATTTTAAGGTAACTTTAGAATTTTAAACCAATTTTAGACCATTTTATGCCGAAAATTGGCAATTTTAGGCGATTTTTCGATTGCTCAGCCTTAATTTTGACACAGCTAGGACCATTTTAAGCTGATTCAGGGGCATTCCAGTTGAATTTTGATCAATTTCGGTTGGTTTTAGACCCTTCTTTAGATTGCTCACCTAATTTCGAACATTGCAAACTATTTTTCAGGGTGATTTCGGTGAAAAATTGACGATTTAGATCATTTTTCGATTGCTCAGCATTAATTTTGACACAGCTAGGACCATTTTAAGCGGATTCTAGGTCATTTCAGTCGGTCATTTTGGCCTATTTCAGACTTTTCAACGCATTGTAACGCCCTTTTTAGAGAGTTTCAGGTCATTTTTAAACGAATTCTCTGTAGATTGCTCAGCTTTAATTTTGAGCCGGTTATATGAAATTTAGAAGCATTTTAAGCTCGATTTCCGGGTAATTTAAGCCGGAAAATCCGATTTTTAGGTTATTTTCAGCCCAATTTCCAAAACTTACGCATCCAGAGTGGTGTTCTCCTTATGATCCAAGACGAACGATTGAGTTGGTGGCGGTTTGACCGATGGGGCGTCGTCGGTGATGTGGTGGAGCCACGAGTGCCTGGAAAATTGGAAAATTCGGATTTTAGGACAATTTCGAGGCTGGAAATGGTACAAAAATGCAATTTTGAGCCAAATTTCAGCATTTTCAGCCATTTTTCCGCTGATTTCAGCTACTTTGCATCAGTTTTGAGGCATTTTTGACTATTTGTGACCAATTTAGCTACTTTCAGCTGTTTTGAGCCAATTTTCATGAATTTTAGCTTATTTTCAGCCAAAAAAAAAACGAGAATTTTTATAGTTTTATTTTGACTGAAAATGGCTCAAAATTGACGATTTTGGGGTCATTTTCCGTCAATTTTCAGCCATTTTCAGTCAATTTTGGCTCATTTTCAGCCGAATTTCAGTAAATTTTTTCACCCTAAAATGGCTCAAAATTGATGGATTTTGGCTCATTTTTCGTCGACTTTCAGCATTTCTAAGGTATTTCTATCAAGTTTTCACCGATTTTGAGCATTTTTGAGACAAAATTCGTGAATTTTGGCTCATTTTCAGCCAAATTTCAGCGCTTACCACTCTGGCGGCACCTGAGTCGCATCGTAATCCAGCCAAACCTTGTCGGGGAACTCGACCCAACGATTGCGTGGCACGAAGTACTCGTTGTTCTCGTAGTATCGATTGCCGAACTTGTCCGAACCGACCAGGGTTCCCACTCGGGTGACGTCCATTCTGAAATCAGCTAAGGATGAGCAATCTGGAGGATTTTGGGCAAAAATTGAGGGAAATTGAGGTTTTTGGAGCTGAAAACCATTAAGATTGACCTTTTTTTTTCAATTTTTAGTTGAAAAAATGAGCAATTTCGAGGAGCTAAAAACCATGGAAAATAGCCTAGAAACTCTGAAAAACGCGCCAAACGCACGCCAGCATCGTTTTAGGCCTATTTTCAGCTATTTTAGGTCCATTTTCTAGCAATTTTAGGTCAACTTTCAGCTATTTTAGGTTTATTTTCAGCTATTTTAGGGGTATTTTCAACCATTTTAGGCCTGTTTTTATCAACTTTAGGCCTATTTTTAGCGATTTTAGACAATTTTAGGCGTATTTTAAGGCATTTCAGGACTATTTTCTAGCAATTTTAGGTCTATTTTCAGCAATTTTAGGGGGATTTTTTAGCAATTTTATGTCTACTTTTAGCGATTTTTGGCCTATTTCAAGCCAATTTTCAGCTATTTTAAGCCAATTTACAGCCATTTTTGTTTCTAAATTTTGAAAAAAGGCGACAAAGGCACGCCAGACTCATTTTAGGCCTATTTTAAGCTACTTTAGGCCCATTTTCTAGCAATTTTAGGTCAATTTTCAACTATTTTAGGTCTATTTTTTTAAAGCAATTTTAGACCTATTTTAAGCTATTTTAGGGGTATTTTCAGCCTACTTTCAGCAATTTTAGGCCTATTTTGGGATATTCTAGGCCTTTTTTAGGCGATTCTAGGCCTATTTTGAGCTATTTTAGGCCTATTTTCAGCGATTTTCAGCACTTTTAGGCCAGCAATTCTAGGGGTATTTTTAGCATTTTCAGGTCAATTTTCATTTATTTTAGGTTCATTTTCAGCAATTTTAGGCCTATTTTCAGCTATTTGAAGCCTATTTTCAGCATTTTCAGTCGATTTAAAGCCTATTTTTAGCAATTTCAGATTAATTCACGCTATTTTTGCCGATTTTCAACTATTTTCAACTCTTAAAACTCACAAATAACGCTTTCTGAGCACCGCCTTCACACCGCCAATCTCCTTGACGATTTTTCCGAACTTCTGGATTTTGTCCACACCCAGCCACGCTTTCAGGGACATCTGGAGACAAAAATTGGGTCAAAATTCAAGATTTTAAGTCAAAAATCACCAAAAAACGGATTTTAGACCTAAAATTGGGTTAAAAATCACGAAAAAAAAAGGCATTTTCAGAGGTTCGAAAACTCATAAAAATTGAAAAATTGATGAAAAAAAGAGGGGGAAAAAGTGATTTTATGCACGTTGATCAAAAGGGGGCGGAGTCAGAAATAAATTAGAAATTCGGTTTTTACACACAGAAAAATGATGGAAATTTGCGATTTTTGGAGTATTTTTAGGGTGAAAAATGAGCTGAAAATCGATTTTCCGACCAAAACTAGCTGAAAACGATGAATTATCGATTTTCAGCTTACTTGGAGGCTAAAAATGGCTAAAAATCGATTTTTCGGCTCGAAAAATACAGAAAAAGACGCCAAAATTATCGATTTTCAGCTCATTTTGGGGGTATTTCAGGTGTAAAAATGGGATTTAAAAGGCTGAAATTGACTAGAAATGACCGAAAAATCGATTTTCAGCATATTTTTATGTGAAAATTGGCTAAAATAATAGAATTTTGGCCGAAATTGTCGATTTTAGGTCATTTTACACTCAAAAATACAAAAAAAAATGCATGGAATTTGATTAATTTGGCGGCGATATCTTCACAGCGATCACCGAATTCAGCAGATTGGCCTCTTTCAGTGTCTGCGTCTCGTCGATGAGAACTTTCGGTGGATAGGCGGACATCAGTTCGAATGGAGAGTAGATGATGTCGGGACGGGCGCTGAAAATATGGAAATTTGGCTGGAAATTTCAGATTTTGGGTCATTTTTAGCATAAAATATCAATTTTGGCTTCAAAAGCTCAAAAAAATGGCCGAAAAATGAGCGAAAATATTATTTCTGGGGTCATTTTGGTAGATTTTCAGCGATTTTCAGCCTAGAATTTCAGATTTCGGGTCGTTTTTGGATCATTTAATTTTGATCAATTTTCAGCCAATTTTGACTGAAAATAGCAGTTTTTGGCTCGTTTTTCGTCAGTTTTCAGCGAATTTCAGCCGGAAAATTCGATTTTTGGCTCTAGAAATACGATTTCTGGGTAGTTTTGGATCTTTCTGGGTCATTTTCAGCGATTTAAAGCGATTTTTAAGTCATTTACAGCCTATTTTGACTGAAAATGTCTCTTAAAATTTCGATATAAAGAATCGTTTTTTGAGCATTTCTGAGCCAATTTTGATCAATTTTTGCTCATTTTCAGCCGATTTGAGCTGAAAATTGCATCAAATTAAAGGATTTCGGCTTATTTTTAGCCATTTTCAGCAGTTTTGGATCGATTTTCTCCGATTTTGGGTCAATTTCAGCGATTTTCAGCTCCAACTCACGTGCAAATGAAGCAACGAACCGCCTCCAGCGTATGGGTGTGATTGAAGACGGCGACGATGCGTTGGCCACTGGGAAGACGGATTTGGATCTGGAAAATGTCTCATTGCTCATTCTAGTGAAACTACAGTAGCACATGATTGCTCTAGGCTTCGAATATGGCTAATTTTCAAGCAATTTTGAGGGAATTCAGATTGCTCAGCCTAAGATTTTGTCATTGGGCCAATTTCAACTTTTTTGCCGTTGCATTTCACAAAGGATTGCTCAGCTTAAGATCGGCTATTTTTAGGTAGATTTTCGGGGCATTTTAGCCAATTTCTAATTGATTTAGGTCATTTTAAAGGTATTTTAGCCCATTTTACTAGTTTAAAACAGATTTTCAGCTGATTTTTAGGTCTTACATTAGTGGTCGGCTGCCCCATATCGGTCTTGAGCTCCTTCTTGGCGTCCTCCAGCTGCTTGGCCTCTTCTTCAGCCGACGTTGGTCCAGAAGGCATCGTTGCGGCTCCAGCGGCAGACGATGACGCCGTGGAGACGTCGACACCGATTACAGTAGGCACGACGTTGCCCAGACGGACGCCACTGCCTCCGAATGGCTTCATTTTGGGCGGTTGATAGGCTTCGTGGCGGCGATCGATGTTGAAATCGATGTCTTTGCCTTGGTATTGCTGATGGAGCGATGGTGGGATTCCGCTGAAAATGGGGAAGGAGTTTAGGCTGGAAATGATCATTTTAAAGCAGAAAATTGACTGAAAATCATGTTTTTGAGTTGAAAATCAGCCGAAAATCAAGTTTTTATAATCAAAATAAGCTGAAAATCCCATTTTTAAGCTGAAAATTACCTGGAAATTGTATTTTTAGAGCCAAAAATGCAATTTTTAGCTATTTTATGAGATTTTTAAGAAATTTAAAATCGATTTTTAGATATTTTTAGCAATTTCAAGCATTTTTTGAGGCAAGTTTTCAGCAATTTTTTGGTGAGTTTTAGCGATTTTTCACAATTTCACAGCTAGAAATTAGCTAAAAATCGATTTTTGAGCTGAAAAAAACGTTTTTCAGCCGGAAAATGCCTGAAAAATCGTATTTTTTAGAATCAACAATGCGATTTTCAGAGATTTTTAGTGATTTCTAGAGATTTTCAGAGACAAAAATCGCTTTTTCGCTCAATTTTCAGCCATTTCTTACCCTCTGCCAACGATTTCCAAGAATTCAATGGTCGCCGGGTCGTTACGAGCCATCAGCGGGCCATCTTCGATAGATAGGCCGTCGGTCCACAAATGGAGTGTCAGTGTCTAGAAAATGAGAATTTTTAGGGTTTTAGAGAGATTTCTGAGGAAATTTGAGCTATTTTAAGCGTAAATTCGGTCTTTTTCAGCCAAATTTGACTATTTTGAGCCGAAATTCCCGCCAAAAGCTATTAGGACCAATTAGGACCAAATTTTAAGCTTTTTCGGCGATTTTAAGCGTTTCTAGCTGGTTTTAAGCTAATTTTCAGCAATTTTGAGTCATTTTCAGCCATATTTCCGCAATTTCCTACCACTTTATCCTTATTATCTCGTCCACCACGACCACCTCCAACCGCTGCAGCCAATTCTTCTGGATTCTCAACCTGGGCGGCTTGAAGGATACGACGGATGTGATCCTCGTTGTTGCGCGGTCCACGGGGCCCCTGGACGGCTTGGCCGCTGGAAAATCGGGGGTTTCTAGGTTAAAAATAGGTTTTAGGCTCTGAAATCGTGATTTTTGAGCATTTTCACCATAATAAAGGTCAAAAACAATCGAGAAAGCTCCAAAACCTTGAAAATCCCGAATTTCCCCCACCTTCCCGCATAAAACTCCTGCGGCTCGCCACGCTCGGCATCGGCGCCCGAATCGTCGCTATCCGGACCATCGTTATCGCCGCCGATGTCTCGAAAAGTGCGAATGCTGCAAGAAAATCGGTGAAAAATGCATGAAAATCAATATTTTTCATCAAAACTCACTTTCTGCTCATTTTTCAAGTTTTCCGTTAGATTTTGCCGATGGAAATCTAAAATTTCAGCGATTTAATCAATAAAAATGGTCTAAAAATCCAGAAAAACCAAAAAAATCGGCTAAAAATCAACTGGAAAACGATGAGAAAACAAAATAGTGCGCGAGCCAAAAGTGCGCCAAGGCATGCACGAGAAATGTGTCAGCAGAGAGCACTGGCGCGTTTCTTGTTTCGCGCGGGGATATGAATTTGGACACTAAAATTGAATGAAAAATTAAGGTTTTTGGCTGAAAAAACGCTGAAAATTGGAATTAAAAAAAAAAACAAATTCGACATGAAAAACCTTCATTTTGCCAATAAAATATCGAAAAAAGCATAGCTTAAAAGGCGAATTTTACATGAAAATTTGAATTTCTGAGTAATTTTTGTTACTTTTGGGGGTGAAAACATCTGAAAATATCGCAAAAATATGGGGAGTTTTACATGAAAAATTGAGAAATTTGTAAAATAAATAATGGAAAAATATAAAAAAAATAAGCTGAGCAATCCTAATCTATTTGGGTTGCTCATAGACGCGAAGCGACAGATGTCGCGTCGCCAGACGGTCCTTTTCCACGTGCAGCACATGACGACGGTTGTTGACGATGCTGGAAAAATGGGATTTTTCAGATTTTTGAGCAAAACATTTGGATTTTGGAGATTTTTTAGTCTGGAAATCAGATTTTTAGGCCAAAAATCGGCATTTTTGAACAATTTCAGGTAGAAAAAAGGCTAAAAATCGGTAATTTCAGACCGANAATCATGATTTTTGGGGATTTTCGACTCAAAAATTTTTTCATTTTTCTCAGGTTTTCATAGTTTTTAGTTCAAAAAATCCCAATTTTTACATTTTTGGCTTAAAAAATCATTGATTTTCATCAATTTTCACTGATTTTTAGCTTAAAATCGCTCATTTTTATCGATTTTCAGCGATTTTTAGCTCAAAAATACCCAAAATTTCAAAATTAAAGCCTTACTGCGTCCGCCGAACTTTAACCGCTTCGGGTCCGAGTGATCGGCGCCCAAATGATCCACAAAATTCGTCTCGATCACTTTGTCCACATGCAGCTGAATCTCATCGAATTGCCGTTGATTATTGTACCATTCCTGGAAGAAATAAAGATTTTTGGCTAAAAATGGGCTAAAATCCATCTAGAAATGTCTAAAATTGCATAAAAAGTGCACAAATGCGATTTTCAAAAATTCAAAAATTTGAATTCCCGCCAAGTCAAGGTGAAGGCGGGAAATTTGAATTTCATTGCTTAAAATCGATATTAGACCATTTTTCATAGTTTCAGACGACTGAAAGTGGCTGAAAATCCATCCAAAAGTGTCAAAATGAAATTTTCATTTTTTTTTTGAATTTTTGAATTTTTGAATTCCCGCCAAGCCAACTTGCAGGCGGGAAATTTGAATTACAAAGCCTTAAAATTGATTTTAGGTCATTTTGGTATGTTTAGACAGCTGGAAATAGCTAAAAATCCATCTAGAAGTGTCAAAAATTGAATTTCAAAATTTGAAAATTTGAATTGCCGCCAAGCCAAGTCGAAAGCGGGGAAATGCAAATCTTAAGGTCTTAAAGCGCTTTCAGACTGTTTTTGAGCTTTAAGACGGTTGAAAACGGCTGAAAATCCATCTGGGAGTGTCGAAAATTGATTTTCAAAAATTTGAAATTTTGAATTCCCGCCAAGCCAAGGTGAAGGCGGGAAATTTGAATTTCAAGCACTGAAAATCGATTTTTTCTCTTTTTAGACTATTTCTGGGTCAAAATAACTCGTTTTTTCGGTATTTCTGGCTCATTTTCTCTCCTTGTTCCGATTTTTTTCATCAAATTTGACGATTTCTGGCTTACCGTAATCAACTGAACCG